ATCAATTCCGTATATGTGTAGGATCAATGGTGAACGGTGTAGTGTGATGGTTGGACTTAATGGCATCTGAAGTCAGATGTTTCATTAAGGACAAGCAATTGAAGACAAAGGCAATATTTAAGTGGTTCTAACTGCAACGAAATTAGTGTTTCAAACAATATGATCCAACGAAAGACGCTTTACTTCCACTATTCATATTGCCGTTTTAATTGCAAATGGATTATGCAAATTGCATATTTTTTCTTGTTGTAATAGAAGTTGTTAAGTGGACAATGGAAACCAGGTACCGAAGTGATTTATCGCGATACCATGCAGAATGTGTGTTATTAATATTTAAAACGAGGACCGTGTTAAGCGAGCAGCTGGCTCGTCCAATTATCTTCCATCGATTTATTTCTGCATGCGAAACAGCATTTCCGATCACGACGGGATGATTCGAACGACGGCATTAAGTATAGGTGTTAGTCGATAATTTCGACGTTTTGTCCGAGGTTACAGCTGTGTCGAGAAAGTGTAAACGTCCTGAGTGGAACGTGTGAACGTGCCTTAATGTTTCGTGCATCAGTGGACAGGTTTTCTCAACCGGTAAGGTAGGCCGCCATCAAGTTTAACGAGTCCACGACTTGTGCTTAAATAAATTGGACGCCAATTACGTCGATGTAGGTGCTGTCTTCGATGTTTTGCTCTTATTTCTTCTGGTGTGTTATATTTCTTTCCGTTTTTAAAACTTTGCTTTTCATCCGTCTTCTCGTCGCGTTCCAGTAACATTACTTCACGCGTATTATTATCGTTCAAATCGGCTGAGTAAAGTGCTAAAGTGACAGTGGATGCTAATCTGTTCTGTTATTCGAACATTCGTGTAATGCGCAAAGATTTATGAGTGCAGCTGCACGAGAAGGATTGGCAAAGGTGATACACATTTTCCCGTGGTGATTCTACATTAGAAGCGTAACGCTTCATAATTTCTGTTTGGACACGAAACGCAGCCGGATAATTCTGTATCGCGTTAGTGACCAGGGTGAATTTTTATCTTTGGCCGAAAATATCGGCAGTGAAAAGTGTAGAGAGCTGCGAAAGATATTTGCAGCCAGGTGATACAGCAGGAAACCGCCAGATGGCAAAGAGGACTTCTTCCGTGTCCTTGCCGCTCGATCCTGCCTTCCTTGCTGATGTACTAAGGATCGATATTTATACGAGCAGGTATCTTTTTAAAATATGTTTTAAATTTGTAAAGTTCTGTGCTCGATCGAAGAGAGGAACTTATAAGCATTAATGATCTATAATGAATAAACGATCTGCATGCAAATATATTAAAGGATGATTTCTCGCTATGGTACATACAAATTTGCTCATCGTTTAATCTTTCAAAAAGCTTGTGTATCGAGCGAGCTAAACTACGCCACAAATTGTCTATCGAAGATTTAATAAAGACTATCGCGAGTTATTGCAAATCTATCGGTACAACCATTTTGGAGCACGTATACGCGCTTTAGTTACTCTTTTTTTCGAGCGTAACGCAAAGCCTGTACCTTGCTTCAATGCACCGCCCAAGTACGCCATTATTATCTACCGCCGCGAGTGCCCCTACATCACAGGTTGATCCCCAAGAGTTTCGATCCGCGCGAATAACGACGACGAGAATCGTGCTTATCTGAAATTCTGACGCTCGTTCATGATCGAATATTCATCCTTGGTCTCCCTGGGGAGGCGAAGGGAGGATGATATAAGAAAGCAAAAGAGAAAGAAACGAGCGGGGAACGCACAGTAGGGTTTAGAGGAGGGAAGAAAGAAAGACCAACCAAAATGAGAGTCCAAGCAGTGCGTTGAACCATGGCCGGAGGAGAGACCAGAAGAGCCAAAGCCACCGGAGCGATGAAGAATGGATGCTGGTTTAGCAAGAGTACAGATTTGTTCGACTCGGGTGCAACGGCCCCTTTGCTTTCGTGTCCATCTTCTCGTTGCTATAGCTACGCCCTCTAATGCCTCCCACCATCTTCGAATACTTCTTCACTGTTTTGGTTTTGTTTGAAATCCATAAGGAGAATGTCGATCATTCTTTTCAACCCTATCCTTCCTTTTTCACGATGCTCCCTGATACGCAGTCGGATTTATTGCTGCCAATATTTGGCCGCGAAAATTAACGAACGTTTTTGATGCGGCTGAAACTGTGTATGAATAATGCGAACAGTTGTAATATCTTGGAAGAGTGAAACCGTTTAAATCTCGAAGAGTTTCTTCGTAGGACAGACACCGGCTAAAAGCATCCATTTTGCGAGTCGGATGTTGGTCGAGCTTGTAATTGTGATGGAAAAGAAGAAAAAACGAGTTATAATAGTCATGAAGCCATCAAGTGACTGTCGGCAGTAGCTACACAGAGTGTCCGGTTTTGTGAGAACAACCTTGGTCATTAAATAAAACCCCTTTTGGTGGTTGGCTGGTTATCTTCAATGGCGTTTTAAAAGGGGCATTTAGGCCCATTTTGGCTACCCACACAGCCCCTGACACCCTTCCCCTTTCTTCGCCGTTATGGTGGCTCTCTTCACGCCCCCACCATATTCGACACGCGTCCTACCATGCTATAAGCTTAAAGGCCCCTGACTTTTACGATTCTGTTCAAGTGGTCATAAAACCGAAGTTTATTGCCGTCATGATTTTCAAGCAAACGGGCTGCCACCTGTCGGAGTCCCACAAAAGCGAAAACTGCATCGAGTCACTTCATCAAGGGCTCCATCAATCCGGGTATTTAATGATTGATCCGACCAATCGTAATTCTCGTTCGAGAAGACGATCCGTGCGCAGAGGAAGCATTGTTACCTTACACTTATTCAATCGGTAATTTATTTTCTCTTGTCATGCATTGTTATACGAAGTACTTATTGTGTCGGTACAAGTGAGCAATATCGGCGTTCCCCTAGTGAAGCTAGCTGCGATACTTGCAAAACATCAGGAATATATTTTCGTCGCAACCGGAAACTTCGAACGCCGTTGAATGTAACAATGTGAAATGTAACAGTGTAAAGTTGGTACGAGAATTGAAATTTTGAAACTTCTCTGAATCACGCAAGAAGCTATATTTATTTACGAAAAAAAGTTAATGCAGGTAAAATGCACGTAGTACATTACGTAAGTGGTAAATGAGTTGCAACGATTATTGCAAACAAAGAGCAGTCTCGTTATAAATGGTAGTAAAAAGTGATAAACGAGGCGAGTCTAAGCGCAACGCGAACGCGCGCAAGTTTTGAATAATGAGCCGTAAACGGTATCATTTCGTGAAACGGGAACGTACGAATCGTTTTTTCAAGACACGCGCGAAGTAGGCGGGTTGTGTCCTAAACATTCATAATGGCGAAAGTGAACGAGCAAATAGTCCGGTCCGGCCCCTGAGAGCAGCTTATGATGGGCATTACTCGGCTCGTTATGGAATAATTTACGAGGTGCGAACCGCGGGGGCGATAATCCAGCGACATTTACATCCCAATAAACATTCCCGATACTGGTGCGGCGCGCGCCACGGCGCTTACCCGCTTCCCTCACGGAGGAGCTCACTTTTACGGCGTTTTAATTGTACGACCGTAGTCTAATTGGTTCGTAAAACGCCCAAGTATCTCGTAAAAGACGTTTATGATAACATTCGTGTCGCTCGTACTCGCAATCGCGTCATCATCGAACCATTGGACAGGCTCGAACATCGGACCGGTTCAACCTGAATCGGAACTTACGGAGACGGGACGCGTCTCGTGCTTACGAAATGTTTGCGTTTTCCCTCTCTTTCTGTCTTCGTCCGTCGCTTGTCGATCAAATGATCGCGCGTAAGAGTCAATTCGCAAGACCGCTTTCACCAATAACGATAATCGCAAGGTGCCTCGTTGATGTTGGTCGTTTGAACGTCTGAATGGATCTGGCAACGTTAGTTCGCGAGGAAACTCAGAGGTGGCGGTGCACGTATCCCCACGGGCGGATAGACCGCGGAGAGGGAAGGAGCGGCGAGGAAGAGGAAAGGAAGCGTTGCGTGACGCGCGTGGCGTGCAGCTTTCGCTCTACCGTACGGCGGTCGACCGTGTCTGTATCCGCGGTTGCTCGCGCGTTTCCAC